TCTTTAGTTTCCTGAGGAAGTGGAGTATATAGACTCATAGAATCATAGAATAGTTAAGGTTGGAAAGGACCTTATGATCATCTAGTTCCAACCCCCCTTCCATGGGCAGGGACACCTAACGCTAAACCATGTCACCCAAAGCTCTGTCCATCCTGGCCTTGACCACCGTCAGGGATGGAGCATTCACAACTTCCCTGGGCAACCCATTCCAGTGCCTCACCACCCTAACAGGAAAGAATTTCTTCTAAACTTCCCCTTTTTAAGTTTTAACCTGTTACTCCTTGTCCTATCACTACAGTCCCTAATGAAGAGTCACTCCCAAGCATCCTTGTAGGCCTCCTTCAGATACTGGAAGGCTGCTATGAGGTCTCCACACAGCCTTCTCTTCTCCAGGCTGAACAGCCCCAACTTTCTCAGCCTGTCTTCATACGGGAGGTGTTCTGGTCCCTTCATCATCCTCATGGCCCTCCTCTGGACTTGTTCCAACAGATCCATGTCCTTTTTATGTTGAGGACCCCAGAATTGCACAGAATACTCCATGTGAGGTCTCACAAGAGCACAGTAAAGGGGCAGGATCACCTCCTTGAACCTACCGGTCATGCTCCTTTTGATGCAGCCCAGGGTATGGTTGGCTTTTTGGGCTGCAAGAGCACACTGAAGCCAGCTCATGTTAAGTTTCTTGTAACTAATACCCCCAGGCCTTTCTCTGCAGGGCTGCTCTGAATCTCTTCTCTGCCCAACCTGTAGCTGTGCCTGGGATTGCCCTGACCCAGGTGTAGGACCTTGCACTTGGCATGGTTAAACTTCATAAGGTTGACATCAGCCCATCTCAGAAGTGTGTCAAGGTCCCTCTGGATGGCATTCCTTCCCTTCAGCGTATCAACCGAACCACACAGCTTGGTGTCATGGGCAAATCTTCACTCAGTCCCACTATCCATGTCAGTGACAAAGATGTTGAACAAGACCTGGTCCCAACACTGATCCCTGAGGGACACTACTCGTTACTGGCCTCCAGCTAGACATTGAGCCATTGACCACAACTGTTTGCATTTGGCCATCCAGCCAGTTCTTTATCCACTGAGTGATCCACCTATCAAATTGATGTCTCTCCAGTTTAGAGACAAGGATGTCGTGTGGGACAGTGTCGAACACTTTGCACAAGTCCAGGTAGATGACATCAACTGCTCTACCCCTGTCCATCAGTTCTGTAGCCCCACCATAGAAGGCCACCAAATTTGTCAGGCAGGATCTCCCCTTAGTGAAGCCATGCTGGCTGTCACCAAGCACCTTGTTGTTTTTCATGTGCCTTAGCATGCCTTCCAGGACAATCTGCTCCAAGATTTTGCCAGGCATGGAAGTGAGACTGACTGTTCTGTAGTGCCCTGGGTCATCCATTTTCCCTTTCCTGAAAGTGGGGGTTATATTTCCTTTTTTCTAGTCATCAGGAACTTCATCTGACTGCCATGATTAGTCATGTGATTACATATGTGATTAGTCTTCTAGTCTGTCTTTTAATTCCACAGTGATTTTATTGCACAGGCCAGGTTCAGCCCAGATTGAAAGGAGTGTCTATCACCAGCTGACAGCTTGAATATGTCACTTTCTTTTTAAGGGATAAAGGATTTTCATTGTATGGGCACAAGCTGCTGTGCCAGTTGGCCTCAGAGCCTGAGGATGGTGTCTAACTTTCAATTCACAAGTTTAAAAATAATCTCTGTGACCTAAGACAGGGCAGGCTGTGCGGCTAAGATTTCTTGTGACGAGTAGTTGCAAAATTCTCTGTTTAGGACTCTAGAAGATCTGATGGATGGTGTAACTTGTTAAGTGTGTGAGTGCATGTGTTCGCATTGTGTGCCCTTAACTCTTCTGAACCGTGGGGTGTATGTATGACCTCAGCAACTGCTTCCCCACCAAGGAAGTTCTGGCTGTTTCACACCTAGAAATTTTGTTGCTTCAGCAGACCAAGCATTAACTGTGACGAACTATGCCATGTAATTCTGGTTGTAGCTGTCTTTCAGCTTAATCTTATCTCAATGAGAAATGTGTTGTCTCACTGTGCTTTGGGTTAGAAAAATCCCCAGGAGAAATGAAAGTATTTTTCCAAAGCAAAAGGATAATTTTAAAAGTTTGCTTTCATCTGTCACCCTGGGGGCTTACTTCTGAACTTAGGTCTGTGCCTGTTTGGTGCTGGCTTTTTGAAGAGTTCAGATGATGTCCACCAAGATAATTAGGGGGCTAAGAGTTTATGGCTTATGCGTGGAGGCTGGGAGAGCTAGTTTTGTTCAGTCTTGAGGTTATTCAGTTACCTGTTGTGGAGTATGGAGGAAACAGAGCCGGAATTTGAGAGATGCAGTGGTAGGACAAGAGGCAACAGGCACAAGTTGCAACATGGGAATTTTAGATTAGGTGTTGGGAAGAAAATTTTCACTGTGAGGACAGGCAAACACAGGAGCAGGAGTGCAGGAGGGCTGTTGTTCTGTGACACAGCATAGGGTGTGGCATACGTTTCAGGTGCAGTTCCCTATGAAAGAGCTTACCACTAGATTTGCATTCAGGAAGCCATGTTTCTCATGTATAATAGAGGCCCAGAAGTGCTAATACTAATTGAATGCTGGAGAACTGAATATAATTGCTCTTTCTGCCGTGAAGTTTTCATGTGTTGACTTTCCAGTGGGTGGCACTTTCTAGATGCCTGAATTGAGGGCTGTGCACAAACGCTTCTCCAAACAGCATTTAGGGATTATTCTTTCATTACTTAACATCTCTTCTGGTTTTGCCTCGAACAGTTAGGTTTCTACCTAGTATCTGGTGAAGTGCTGGTTTTTGGCGTTAGTCTGAGAATAATGTTGATAACACACTGATGTTTTTAATTGTTAAGTAGTGTTTATACTAAGTAAAGGACTTTTCAGCTTCTCACATCTTGACAGCTAGAAGGCTGGGGAGGGCACAAGAAATTAGGAGGGGATACAGCCAGGGCAGCTGACCCCAGCTGACCCAAGGGATGTTTCATACCATATGGTGTTATGGTCAGTATATAAACTGAGGGGAAAGATGACCGGGAGCTGCTTCTTGGGAACAGGCTGGGCATTGGTCAGCAAGTGGTGAGCAGTGAGCAGTTGCATTGTATATCACTTCTTTTGTATATTCTGTTTTATCATTATTATTATTTTGTTCCTTTTCTGTCCTATTAAATTGTCTATCCTTACCCAAGAATTTTCTTACTTTTACCCTTCCAGTTCTCTCCCCCATCCCACTGGGGGGCAGGGGAGCAAGCAAGCAGCTGTGTGGGGCCTAGTCACCAGCTGGTGTTAAACCACAACAACATCTTGTAAGCTAAATACTTCAAAAAGGTTTCTTTGGTTTCCAAACTTAGTGCCTTGTTTTAGTCTTAGTCTTTTTGTGATTCATCTTCCCAGTTGTCAGATAGGGAAACCATCATTGCTTCTCAGGGGCAATGTAGTGATGATTATCATAAACCGCAAAAGAACATAAATAAATCTTCCTCAGAGCATTGTTTGTGTTCCGGTCCCTGTGTATTGCAATAGAGTTAGAGAAGAAAGCAAAGTTTCAGTACATCCTTTTGGAAAAAGAAAAAGCACAAGTGATCATTAATTAATTAGAACAGCTATGCATGAAGAGACCAGCCTTTATTATAGCATTTCCTAACTTCAGAATTTTTTACTGTAATGTTTTCACTGTTGTGTTTTTTTTTTTTTTTTTTAGTAGTTTGTTTTTAAGTGTAAATCACAGTGAAAAATTTGAGCTATTTTTGCAGCATTTCAGATTTACAGCATTTTTGTTGTTTATGAGAGAACTCAGCTGAAAGAGAGTCCCTATTGTAGCAGATGATGCTGGTTAACACATGCCACACAACTCAGTGCCGTGACTGTCTCTCAGACTCTGAGCTCAGTTCTGTTCTCATCACCATCAATGGGAGTTTTAGTGTTTCCTTCCCTGCAAGTGTCTCTTTTATTGACGTCCAGGTCATGTAGTACAGCCTAGCAAAGACCTTGTATGTGAGGTATATGCTCTATACTGAGTGCAAAATGCTGAAATCAGTATCTTAGAATCTTAAAGAGGTATTGGAAAAATAATGAAAACAATAAACACTTGAAGTCTTTAAAATATGTACTATTTGGGAAGGTATCTGCTTAAATTCAGTCATATTTTGAAAGCCCTTAAAAGACTTCTTAACTTTCAAGTATTTCTAAATATGCATGCTGTCTCACCTAGGGGGCTCAGTGTATTAACGGATCATAAACAGGATGTGCATTAACCGAGTAGAATCAGGAAACTAAATGCTAATTAAATTAAAGAGCAGAGAAGATAAAGCCAATCACTTCAACCATCAGCATATGCCTTATTTTCAATAAACCTGCTGTTACTGAAAGGTTGGCTTAAAAAACAAGAACAGTAAAGTTTCATTAGGAAGCAGCTGCTCTGGGTTGAAGGTTGCTTGTCAAACCTTAATGTGTATCTATTGTGTGTATGCATTATAATAGTCTTTTAACAGGAGAAATCCCTGTAAAGTGGGAGAATAGTCTTTGACTTGAGTGTAGTGGAAAATTAGATCTGATAAAACCCATTCACTTGCCCTGCTCTTAAAAGCCTGTAGAAATACATAAGAAAAGTATATTTGTTGTTGATGGCAAAATAAATGGTAGGAGGAGATGTTATTTTGGAAGCAGTGCTTTTTTCTTCAGAGACAATTGGAGGCAATTATGAGCTGCACAGTGGTTTTGAATGTAACTGATTTTTATGAACTTTTTGAAAGCTGTTACAGTTCTCTTACTTGCAAGGTCTCTTGCTTTTGTCCTTGAGTAGCTCTCTACAAACATGCATCAGCTGTAAATAAATTAGGTGGGAAATCCTGATTCTATGTGAACTTGTTAATTTGTGAAACAGAAGAATATCCCGCTGCTGGAATGTCCGTCTATCAATTGTCTCTAAAATATAGAGTAGGGATTAAAATCTTACTTATTCTATCTTTTGCCTTGCAGGTTCAAACCATGAATTACGTTGGACAGTTAGCAGGGCAAGTGTTTGTAACTGTGAAGGAGCTTTATAAAGGACTAAACCCAGCCACATTGTCGGGATGTATAGATGTAATTGTTGTATGTCAGCCAGATGGAAATCTTCAGTGTTCTCCTTTCCATGTACGCTTTGGCAAAATGGGAGTTCTACGTTCTAGGGAGAAAGTGGTAAGAAAATGGAGAATTTTGATATGTTCTGTCTGTGGGTTGTCTCTAATGGCATGAAAGTTACTGAATGTTCTGTGGTGTGCTAGTCAAGGTTTTCTTTAGACACTCTTTATAAAGTGGCCAGATTGAGGCACAGTTCAATTAAAATGGTTGTTACTGATTTTTCCATTTCACAGCATAATTTGTAAGACTTTGACTATTGTAAAAAAAAACCAAGAATGACATTTGTAAGTTTTATTTTCAAAAAGCAAAATTCTGAATGTGCTGATTTGGCCCTATACTAGATCTCATTAGTGACTGTGTATTAAGACACCTTTGTTTAACGTGTTCAGTAATAGTTACAAAAAGGGGGGTAATAATGAAGTAGTATTTTTGGGTAACAGAATGTTGAGGTTAACTGAAATCAGATAAAGCAGCAAGGACCTTGAGATAACCACTCTGAATAACCTGGCAATATGATATCAGATGTGAAGTTGCCAGTGAGTGATGCATGACAGATTATTTTGGGAAATAATTTGTAACTACATACAGTCCAGAATGTAATTACAGTTGTTCAGTGGAAAGGTCCTAACGTCATCATGGACATTGTTCAAATCTTACATAAAGCAGAAAGGAAGTCCAACATTTAGGATGGGTAAAAGTTGAAAATGTTACTGTGTCAGTAATGTGCTGTGTCCTGAAATATAACATTAATATAGACTTTTCCAAGCCTCAAAAACAAAACAAAACAAAACAAAACAACAAACTTGAGTGAAAATGGAGTTGATGGCAAGAACAGTTATGGGCAAAGAGGGAGATCTTCTGAGAAGAAGTGGAAATAGTTGGGGCTGTATAGTGGTGAGATAAATGCATGGAAGAAGCAGATGCATGAATTGTGTTGAGAATGTAGGACAATTTTTCTTACTTGTGCTTTTCATGGTGTGAAGAGAAGCCTGTTTAATGAATTCAAGAGACAGCATATTAAGAATTTGCATGTGGAAGAACTTCTTACACGATTCAAAATTAAGTTTTGAATTAAAAAAGCAAAAAGACTTGTGTGGTGAATGAAGCATTCAGATTTACATTTTAAAAGATTGAATATTTATATAATGACTATGAACCTTCCTGAGTAGAGGAACAGGACAGCAACAAGCTGAATGAGTAAGGAAATGTTTTGACAATTGATGACCCTGTGAAGTGGTGAGAAAAGAAAAAAGTTTACTATTTTGCTTATTATAAGGTTTCCTACACTTCCTTGAGAAGCATTTGCTCAGTGACAGTGGTAGGATAGCTGAACAGCATCTGTGTATCTAAAAGAGCTTTATTCATATGAGAACATATTTATTTTCTTCCAGGTTGACATAGAAATTAATGGAGAAGCTGTAGACTTGCACATGAAACTAGGAGACAATGGAGAGGCTTTTTTTGTGCAGGAGATGGATAACAACCAGGTAAGAGTCAAAACTAATTTAAAGTTGTCAGAAATTCAATGCCTGCTCTTCAAAGTCACTTTTGAATTTAGGAATTTTTGTTGAAAAATACACTTCTACCCATAATATAGTTTCAAAGTTTCTGGACAGTTTTCTGTTGTGGAAATTCAATACTGTGCAGTTTTTGGGTTGTTGAGATTTGGAAAAATCTAAAGAAGGTAATCACATAACTGAAAAATAACAGTTTATGTGCATGCCAGTGTGTGAGCACAAGTAACATGTATGTTGTTCACATGCTTCAAAGGTGTGTACAACAGAGGTTTATATGTCAGTGACCTGTTTTTTGCAGAAATCTCTACTTTGAACATAAACACTGAGCAGAATGTCTGTAGAAGTGCACACACCCTGTAAACATCTGTGCACACAGTAATTTTGGTACTCACCAAAGACATGTTCATGTGGAATTATACTTAAGTGAGAATGCTTGCTGTTGAGTTATGTGATTGAATGTCAGTCCATATAAGTTGTGGACTGTTCAAAATTAGTGTGACCATATGTAATGTGTCATAAGAAAAGCTTTTTACAGCTATTTCTCATCAGAGATTCCCAACAAATTTTGTCACTGTCCATAGTGGAATGAGTTTTTAAATTCCACATTGAATGCAACAGTAGTTTTAAGTGAGAACTTGTGCATGTGCAGTATTAATTTCTATATCCTTATGTTTAAATCTCTGTGTGGTAAACAGTTATTTGGTGACTGAAAATTGCTAGAAATTTTGCTTGAGTATCTAGAGATGTATATATATGATTAAGAGTGTGACCCAGTTATAAACTTCTGACCTGTCGACTGTTGACTGTTATCTGAATTGAGTTGTGAAGAATTAGCTTTTACAAAATGTTCAGATTATAAATTAGGATTTTTGTTTCTGCTGTGTATGTAGCATCAAGTGGATAGAGATTAATGCCATGTGGCCAATATGAGATGCTCAGAGGATCCTCTTTATTACAAGTATTGTTCCTGGCTTGTCTAAGGAGATGCATCTGTGGAACAATTTCCATATGCTATAGGATCGTACTGAGCATCCAGGTGTCTAATTTTTGTTACTTTTCTGTGGAATAAATCACTTAGATTTTGGCAATTGTGAATAGATTTTAGAACCAGATTTATGACTGGTGGAGGAACTCATGTTGCATGGTTTGGATTTTTTCTTCCTCAGGAGGTAATTCCTCATCATCTCTCCACATCTCCCATTATGTCTGAGGGAACTGCTTTAATGGATGCTCAGCTGAAGAGGAACTCCATAGACAGGATAAGAAACCTGGACGCCAGTGCATCCTCACAAGTACCACCCCAAGCCCATGGATCCCAGCTTTCTACTGAAACATCTCCAGTCTGTAGCTCTGTGAAAAAACGTAGGAAGAAGAGGAGAAAGTCTACCCATAAAATAGACAGCTTAAAAAGAGAAGACAATGGAGACACATCGGAAGACGAAGACATGTTTCCCATAGAGATTAGCTCAGAGGAGGAAAAAGAACCATTGGACAATTCACGGTATAACAGTGGAACTGAGCTATGTAATAGAAACCTGATGCTGGGTTAATGTTCCATTCCATGCCTTCCAACAGTAATTTTTATTTAAGTCAGTACGCATGGCTGATGAGCATGTGTCTATAAGAAAAAGTTTTAGGCTAGAAAGCCATTGGGAATGATGGTAACAAAAATAACAAAAATTACATAGAAAACGTAAGAACAATCCTCCATCATGCTGTGAACTAAAAGGTGTCAGTCAGATAATATTTCTCTATATCATTTTAGTTCAGGTTATACTGATTCTTCTCTACAGTAGGTTTTTTTTGCGGCCTGAAGTATATGACAGTTCAGTTATTAAGCATGGTTTTTAAATGTCATGTCTTTCCCTATACCTAGAATCCCTGTTCCAGATGTGTGTGTTGATGATATATCTGACATGAAGGCTCCTGCAGCTTCTATGTTTTCTCAGTCTTCATCTTACCCTCATTCAGATGGAGAATGGTCACCTCTTCAAAGGTACTTTTTCTGTCAGTACAGTTCTAAATAATCTTCCTCTTTCCATTAATGTCTTATAGGCTAGTGCTATATGAAGTCGTACTAAAAATGTTCGTATCAAACATGGTCAGTGTCAACTACTAGATGAATGCTTTCTGTATTTGAAATCAGGTAGTGTTCAAAAACTTCGGGTTAGCTTTGTCCTTGGTTCAACAAATGCATATGTACAAATGCAGGCCCATAAATTCTGAAGAATGTTTCTATCTGTTAGTGTTGCTGTTTGTGTAGAAATACTATAGAGAGGATGAATATTTTGTGAAATCTGAGTCTTTGCGTAATGCACACACTTTATAAGGACTTCAGTGAATGTCTGTATATAAATCTATAGTACTTCGGGTGTAATCATTTTAAGAACTTTCAAGATTGGAGTTAATGTATAAAAATAAGATTTACTTAAATGAGTGTGAGCATTTTATGTCCTTTTCAAAGCTAATTTATTGAATTGCACAGTTAAATAGACATGTAATCATAGAATCATAGAATCGCAGAATAGTTAGGGTTGGAAAGGACCTTAAGATCATCTAGTTCCAACCCCCCTGCCATGGGCAGGGACACCTCACACTAAACCATGTCACCCAAGGCTCTAAATATTACCCAAGTAATATTTACTGTGTGAACACATACAGAAATATGCTTATTCTTTCCTGTATGTGTGTTTATGTGCTTGTGTATACCTTTGATATCAGAACAGATCAGTTTGGACTGACTTTCTTGTGTCTGTGGAACACTGTCAGAAGGAGACAATTTTTTGCCTAATGTGCACTGAAATCTGTGCATTTGTGTGCTCCTGTGCACATGTGCCCCACATCCTCCATGCAAACTACTGGAGTGGAGCAATATTCACAAGACATTATTCTAAGAAGCCTAATTTCAGTATACTGTCTGTGTATTTGAGGGGCAGTGTAATCAGAGCAAGGGCTTAATTGAAATGTTTTGAACTGCATTCTGGAAGAAACTTTCTTCACTGACTATAAAGCTTATTATGATTAGCTTCACCAGTTTGGTGACAACATATGTCAACACCCTGCCCTTTGCTGCCTTTTTGAACTGTATGTTCTGTTTGTTTTTAGAATGCAGTATTCTGGATTTTGAAAGCTCTAGATGTAAATTCAGCATTCGTGCATAAAGAGCTAAGTGTTAATCAGCACTTGTGAATAATGACACCCTATTTTTCTTTGTACCAACATGCTATGCTGTCCAGTAAGCCTATAGATTGCACAGGCCAAACCTCTCTTCTCACTGTTCCAGCAGACGGAGGTCTATCTAACTCTTGTCCTCAACAATCTTCTCACTTTTCTCCTCCAGACAGGTAGAACAGTTGTCCTTCCTCTTTTCCTTTTTAAATCCTTTTAACACATTATTAGTATGTGAACTTCATTGAACTTCTGACTGTGCTTATTGCTAACCCAGGCATCTTGAAAGAGACACTGAAAGCCACTTCTTCTGCTTGCTTCCTTGTGGGCATTGACTGGAGGTAAATTACCTTGATGAAACATCTGTTGAGGATGGCCAATATAAAATCAGGCCAGTGAAAACCTGGATTAAAATCTAAGTTGATGAAGATGATTAAAAAGAAGAAAAAGGGAAGAATTTAGCTAGTGAGAACTTACATTCCTGTGAAGACTGGCATTTCTATGTGGCTTTTTACAGTCAGTGTATATTTTAAGGACATTTTTATTCCATGGCTTTCCTGACTTGTTTGCTTGTGCATAGGTTGAAAAAGTAAAAGCAGAACAAAGACTGGAGATTACGTGAGCGGTAAGGAGTACAGAACTTGGAGTGGGAGAAGCCCAGTACCAGAAGAGAACCTCTCTTCCTTTGTTCCCTGGTGTGGGGGTGGGGAGGACTTTGCAGGGGGGAGTATCAGAGTAAAGATGACACAATAGATAAGGCATACTACTTTGCTGTAGTGGATGATTCTTCTGACTGTAGATTCTCTTCTACAGAGTTGTAAGTGGATGCAGACACTTTTGATGATATCTTAAATTTGAGATGTCTCAAGATTCTGCAGCCAGGCCCTTTGTCTCCATTAAGTGAGTGGACAGAAATCACAGCAACTCAGTTGAAAAATTTAAAGTAGGTGCCTGAGTATGACCTGTACAATTCTCCATTAATGCTGGGGAAGCTTTGAGTAATATATCAGGATAAATTGTTCTTTGCTTATCTCAGCAGAGATGCCATACTAGGTGTGTAAGGCTGCATCAAATTGATGATCTTGAGATTTTTCACCCTTCTGGATCTGCCCTCTTTAACCTGACCATTACCTGATTGATAATGTTGCATTACCAATCAAGGTGAGATCCTGGGACATTCAAGACTGTTCTCCTTAGTGTTTTTCATGGCAATGTAGGGCAAGTGCACAGGTTGGGATGGAGCAGTGATGTGCTCTGGGTGGCTCCATGAACTTTGCTGTAGTGTTCACTGTCTTGCAGTCTAGATACACAGCTGAAGTGCTGTAGTAATTTGTTTGAGTAAGCTCCTCTCTATGTCTGCAACTGTTCTCCTTGATGTGAAACAAGAAGCCCTACTATGGCCACCTCAAAGGAGCTTCAGAGGTTCTCAGCTGTTGTGACATGTACATGAGATAAGTTTCTTTCCTTCTATCTTTTCCCAGTTTATTTGGCCTCAGTCAGGAAAGGACTTTTTCTCAGGTCACACTGCTGCTTTCTCAGGACTCTCTTAGCTTTCAGTGGGAAACACTGCAAAGATCAGCGTGGTTTCCTTGCAGAACTGCCAACTACAGGGCAAGTTCTGTATTCTTGACATTGGATTACATTAACTCCAATCATAGTGGTTAAGGAACACATAGGACTGTCACACGAATATTCAGCATTTATGGGATGTGAATCAGATATGCTGATCTGAATGACTGAACTGAAGTTTACCTTCTTGTGCATTGTGGACAGGAAGGGTGGCTGTCGTTTAATCTGGAATTATCACAGCAATCAGTGGCCAATTTAAGGAAAGGGGAATTGCAAGACATAATTCAGTCCAAGACAAACATGTTGCTGGTGTAAGGAATAAAATGTCCATTTTTAGTCTGATCCACAGATGCATTTGTAAGATACTCTCACTGGATTACAAATCCTGCACAGTCTTGGTGTTCAGACTTTCTGATCCCTAGTGCAAGTATAACATTAATTTGGGATTTAATTTGACCTAATTGAGTTTAAAAATGCAATGAAAGGAATAGCGTTGTGAGCTTTATTAGTCTTCAGTCTTATTTTACTTTGATGGCCATGGTATGAAGTGAACAGCAGCCAAAATAGTCCCAGTATGGGTAAAGGAGGTGACATCTGGCTTACATATGGAAGCAGAACTTTAAAACAGGAAGAATACAAACAGGACTGTAGTAGGCATAATTGGCTATCTGTGTCCATAAACTACAGAGATTACCGTTGGTGTTCTAGAAAGATGTTAGTTAGAGAGAGTAGCTATGGAGTGTTAGACAACAATGTGGCTTATGAAGAAAAAAGTAAAAGTATTTCTCTGTAATTCCCTTACAGCTCCCATCAGGAGGCAACCAACCCTGTATTAATGTTTGTTGATGGCATAGAAAATTCCGTTTTATGCCCTGTATGATATAAGGAATGAAAACGCTGTAATGTTTTTATATACAAAATAATTTATCCCTGTTTGCCTTGTGTCTGCATGTTTGCAGTCTGACTTGCTCGTAGGCCTTTCAGATCAAGATGACATTGCAATAATAATTCTAATCTACCCTGAGATTGTATTCACATTTATACATTAATCTACAAGGAGAAATCAACTGCAAATAATTCTAAAGATCTAACAGTTTGGTACTACTAAATCCTCACTTTTTATTGTATAGAAAAGTAATATCTATAGAATGGGAATTAAGATGTCACCATTGTGTTTGTGTCAAAAGTTCAGCAGACAGTGACATTTTTTCTACTTTGTTTTGGGACAGTGGGTAGTATTTTGGTGGTTAGATGCCTACCCTAATCCTAGCCTACTTGTGGCTATATATACTCAGAACCAATAAAGCATATGTGTGCATGGACCATTGGACAGCCTTTCGCATCAAAAGACTTCTTCAGGGCACTCAGGGCAAAACTCTACCTTGTATTAACACACACACATAGGGCATTAAAGGCAGAGTAAATAATCAGAATATTATAAATAAATAATGATTCACTAATTCAAGGACAGAAGGAAAAATGTAACTTGCTGTCACATTGTTGACTTTACGACATTACATATATGCTACAAACTAATAATTTGCTGATTATTAAATATTTTTATGTAGTCAGCAAAGCAAACAGTTAAACTTTTTTGAACTGGAAGAACTCACATACTTTGTACAGCTCTGCTGCTCTACAGGTTTCTCTAGAAACTTGCATCCAAGGCTAGAACTGAGCAATTTAGTAGAAGGAAGTAATCAGCTGGATTCGTTAGGCTAATTTATTACTTGATCAGGTTAAAATGTCTTGTTGATGCGAGTAATTTGTGCCCTTTCCATCCATTATAATAGTACTAACATCTATTCATCTGCTGCTGCTGGTACCATCCCTGTACTTTTTTCCACACAAAACCCTCCTGAAATGTTCAGGGCCAGTGGTCCTGTCTCATCTCTTCCAGCTTCTCAAATCCTGCTTCTGTGACAGCACTTAATAAAAAATGGATGACACCTCTGAATGCCAGTCTGAAAGGTTCCTGAACTGTTTAAACTGTCTTTCCATGCTTTCACACTTTAAGTTGGCTAATGGCTATTTAGATCTCCAGTGCTTTGCGCTGGGGATATCTGTTTGGAAAGTGCTTAATATGGTTACGTTTGGCTTTGTAATATTTTTTGTTTGGTTTTCTTCAGCCCATCAGGTTCACGCCCTCCTACTCCTAAAAGTGACTCAGAATTAGTCAGTAAACCTACGGACAGAAGTGGGATGAAGAATAATCCCCACATGCACTGGGCATGGGGAGAGCTACCCCAGGCTGCAAAGGTATCCAATGTAATTTAATTCCTGCTAACATCTCTTGGGCACATGGACTTACTATGTTGCAGACTACTAAAGAGGGAGTGGATCCTGGTTTTACTGAAAATTGTCATGTTTTATGTAAGAAAGAGAATTGCATCTTGCTCCTTAGGAGGTACAGGAAAGTACCCTCTGCTGGGTGTTTTATCGACACCCATGATACATGGTAAAAAAATGACCCTGAGACCTAATCTTGTAAAGGTTAGAAGCTTAAATAATGTGTAAAATCAAAACAAATGTCCTTTGGTAAATCACTGAAATTCATAAATGATCTTAGATAGAAATTAGTGCTTGGTGTTAGCAGTGTGATTCACAAAAATTGAAATTGGTTGTTTCGAGTACATAAGCATCCAGAAACACTTACAGTTCTGTGTCAGTGCATGCCCAGGCATGCTGTTCTCTTGGCTCAGCTGACTGGCTTGGTGCCTGTCTTCTCCCTGAAGCCATTTGGCTCAGTTAGGTGGCAGGATCTGTAGTGTGCCAGCAGCATTGTCTCCCATGTTGCACAGTAGCCATGTGTAGCTGTGTACACTGCAGGTCAGTCAGGTATTGACTGAGTCAGAGATTTCATGGAGGAAATGGGTCAGTTAGGGGTTACACCTGCCTCAGGGTATGAGAAATAAAGGTCAGTAGCATACTGCAGTTCCAGGGGCAGGGATGGTGCAGGATTTGTCCTCTTCTCAAAGCTGGCTTCTCTGCAGAAAGGTCTGTAGGAGTGTTGGGGTCAGGAACAGTATAAAGAAACAAAATTGCTGCTTTGCAGGCCGGGGAAGTGGGTATCCTCTTCAGACAGAAGGCTACATTCTGGTGGTGCCATCAGAAGTATAATGGTGCTATTACATTTATCTTTAATTCACTGTTGTTAGCTAGTGACAAAAGAAGGGATGGAAATTCAGGATTCTTAATTCCTTCAGAAAACCTCTGGCCTCTTCTTTAGTAGGCCATAGATGAGCTGCTTCATCACCTCTGTGTTACTCTCCTCCTCGTGTATGTTAGAAAATTGGGAGCTATTTTCTGTAAGCAGAGAACTAATTCAAGTGCACAGGTCCAGACAGGAATTTCAAATTGGCATTTTCAGTCTATAATTTAGGGTTTCCTGTTATTAGATTTAGGTGTTTCATTTTTATCCCAGTCACACAGCCCAGTGTGTATAGCAAATCTCACTCTTGGAAGCTTTTCCCTCTGCAGTCCCTGCCTATGTCTCTAGCCAATCTATTCAGAGTTGATCTGACCTTACCTGAATTGAGAGTTATGCTTTGGACAGTCTTAATTTTTGTGTAAGTGTTTGCTATCATGTGAACGTTATAGCAGCTATACAGCTGCTGCTGTAGGGGTTCAGCTTTCCTCTGTAAGAACTCCTCCTGCCCCACACTGAGAGAAGATATGGAATTGGAGTGATTTTAAAGTCTAAATCTGAGGTATAGATGAATGACGGTGTCTGGTCCCTGGGAGCATCCTGATTGTGTATGGACTGCATACAGTCCAGGGTTACCTTCTGAAGAAAAGCTAGGATTTGTGCAGGAAGGAGGGTATGGTAGGAGCTGCTCCCAGGCAGGTGAGTGGGAAATGAAGACGGTAAAGCACACTGCAGAACAAGTCTTTCCTGGCCCCAAGGTACAGATGAATTTTGAGTAGCAAATACACAGCAGTGAGGCATTTTGTACACTCTAGTCTCCACCTCAGTGGTAGCTTTCTGCTGTAGTTTCTTACCTTGAGAATCTGATCTCACTGAAGTGATCAGAACAGATTAAACTCTGGCCGTTGCATTTAATAGCTTTTCTTTATATCAGTCTTTATGTTTCCTCACAGGCCAGTCCTCTGCTCAAAGCAAAGGAACCCAGTGTGGTGGATGTAAATCCTTCTGAAAGCACTCACTTTCGGGTCATCCAGAGTTCTCCTATAGAGGAGTTTAACACTGAGTCTCCTCTACCTGCTCTTAGACAAGCAGATGCAGCAACTGCTGCTGAAAGTGAGCCCTTACCAGCTGAGACAAATAAGCCAGAGACAGAGTCTCCAGGGGCAGCTGTACAACCATTGCCTACCAGTGAAGAAATAAAACAAGCTACAGCTTGTTCAACCCAATCAGCTGGCAAGACAGATTCTCCGTCCAGAAAAAAAGGTAAAGGTCTTGATTCTTCACTTTTATATGTATTATTTAATCTTTAAATTTCATGCTGATAAAGTATTTCATTGCCATTTAAATTAATCTGTGCCCTGAAGGCACTTTCACATCTGGAAAACTGTAAACTTTGGAAAGAACCTTCCAAACCTGAGCTGTGCAGCCTTCTGTTCACAGGAGCCATGTAGTAAGGCACAAGATTCTTCTTGGTTTGGGATTTTTGGCAGCTCTGCACATGAGCAAGACTTACAAAACTTGTTCCAAATTCATCCACACTGATTCAGTGTTTTCAGGTTTTGGTACAAGCAAACTGGAGAGCTAGTTCACCTGCTCTGACTACTTTCTGAGTTGTTATGTGTTTCTGGTAATAGTGGAACCTCTGTGCTCTGGTACAAAGTGGTAGTATGTTCTTTGTACAAACCGCAGATTTGCCACAAAATAAGGTGCTTTTGTTTTACGTGAGCAGTTTCGGTTCTTTGTGGTGCATGTGCTGTTCTGAATTTGTGAAATATAACTCTGTCTGCTTTCCTACTTCTTAATTTCTGGGCTTTATATCCATGCTATTGTATAATAAGTGTTGCAATCTTCACATGAAATTTATTTACTTACAGATGTTGTGGTTTAGAGCTCTGATAATTCTGTAATTATGTAAAGCCTATTTAAGCTTGGTTTATGCAGCTGATTTGAATAGGTAGACATACAGGTTTCTTAACCACTTCTCCACGTGTTCCACTATCTTTGAAGGTACAAAAATTACAGTGTTACTCTGCTGTTTGGCCTTTGCATAACTTCTTTTTTTGATTTCTTTGCTGATGTTTGATGTTGGTAACTGGGACAGGGAGAAGACATGGGTTTTAGCATGAATTGCAAGTTAGGTTTTGGCCTTACAACAGTTACTTGTCTAGATAAACCAGCAACAAGAGGACAGCAATGACTGTGTGTTGGTACTAGTTAAATACATGGGAGGGTTGTCTTGTCCCCTACAGTGGTGCATGCACACACACAACACATCAGATGTATGTGCTGAACTGTGAGTTGCCTCCATAACAAGCCAGTTACAGCATATTAGTGACTATAGCATAGTCTGTTGTGTTACTTCCCTTTGCAAGGGAGCACTGAAGATTATTTCTCGAAGATTAAAGGCTCTGATTGCCTTACTGTGATAATAGGCCTATGCAAATACTTTTCCTTTGCTGCTTTCCTACAGTGACCACTGACTTCTAATTCCCACTTGTTTTGCCTTGAACAGGGAGGCTTCAGCGTATCTCAGAACTTGTCCTCTGTTATCCCAGAGGACATAATCTGACCAGTGTATAGGAGCAACTTGTTTTGAAATTTTTGGCAGTACCATTTTATACAAGTACAGTTCACAAACTGCTGTAATTTGTTTGATTCCTCAATCTTAAAATGAATAGTTAAACTGTAGTAACAGTTCTGGCTTGTTGTTCAGAAAATGATCATTAATAGGCTTATATGTGCTGTCCCTTACAGACAAACGAAGCCGGCATCTTGGTGCTGATGGTGTCTATTTAGATGACCTCACTGACATGGATCCAGAAGTTGCTGCACTTTATTTCCCCAAGAAGTATAAGTCCTTCGCTTATATTTTGACTATTTAAAGAGCTCTTGTCACCTTCCAGATTCATTGCCAACTAGATAAGACCTCTTTTTTTCAGAGTCCAAGTAGACATGAAGGCAGAAGGAAAGTAGAGAACAATATTAGAGCTTTTGGAAGGTTCTGCGTTTGAGCCTGAGAAGTGTGCTTGAAACTGATTTTCTATTTTGATCAATTAAGCGTAGTATGTTGATTGTAGGTTGTTATGTGATATACACTGATGTTTCTGAGTGTTACTCACATGCTCTGGGAGAGCAATTGGCCTTGGGATATATTTATCCCCATGTCCTTCCTTATTACCATGAGGGACATACCTTACTGTTAATAGTATTAGCACCAAATTATTGCTTTAGTGTTATTATACAGTGGGTGATCACCTATAAATATGAATGTTACAAAATAATTTTTGGAAGGTGCATAACAGATATATTTATGCAAGTATTGCACCCTGAAAATAAAATTTCTAACTTATTCTGATCTTTATTAGAGCCTCTTATAACATTTATAATCCTCTTTCCACATCATACTCCAGTCATTTCATTAAAAGTCATTGAGCAACAACTGACGTAGCTTGCATATTTTTTCACTCTTGCTTGCTTAAAGTCAGCTGTTGTGATATTAGCATTTTAATAAAAGTGAGGAAAATAGTAATATGGAGAAAAAGTTGGATGAAAAGTTCCTTTTTCAAATGTATTAATATAAATCTGGAATGGAAAGCAGAATTTGATAAGCCTGCACTTTGTAATAATGATCTCATCTATTCACAGATTTTAAGTGGGTACAATGATTTATTATTTCTCAATTTTTTTTATCCTAGTAGTTTATATGCAGAGTATTTTATTTTTATATACATGACATAAATACACAAGCAGATGCTTCTTTTGTTTTGGATTTAGCTATCAGTTTGTATAATTAATATAAATAAATTAATAAACTAATATGTTTATTCTTGTGCCTGTGTGGGAATAGTTCTAGTATAAACTCTGCTTATAGTAGCAAGCATTATATAATCTACTAAAATCTTACAGTTTATTGCCTTATTTTTCCTATCTCTTGTACATATGTGAAGCTATAATTATACATGCTTAGTCTGGACAAGTAAGAAGAAGCATGGGCACATGAGGCCTATACTACTTTTATGCTAAAACTAAGCAAATTTCTTTAGGTTCTTCTCCTTTCCCCTTCCCCCCCCCCCCCCCCGCTGTGTGTCAAATGTAAAAGGTGCTTGCTGAAGGGAATGAATTTGGGAATGAATACATGAATTCCTGATTTTTCTTTTCCAGTGGAGATAATGTCCAATGCAAGAACGCGAGTGACACAGGGCTGCGATCTGCCAGCCAATCTCCACAGTCTGGTGGGAGCTCAGGTGTTGACAGTGGAGCTGAAAGCACCTCAGATGGAATTCGAGATTTACCTTCCATTGCCATTTCTCTCTGCGGAGGCCTTACTGACAACAGAGAAATAACCAAAGGTACAGGATGACATTGTTACTAGGCATGTGCTGGCAGCCAAGCTTTAGCATCCTAGACTGGAGAAGCAGTGCCCTCCTGTGGTTGTATTCAAGAATGTGTTGCGAGGAGAAATGCTGTCCGTGTAATGATTAGATTCCTAGAATGTTTCATATTTAAAATAGTGGACTTGTATAGGAATGACGATTTTAGTAATTTTTAGTAATTCACTACATACTAAATTTTCTTAAGTATTTTATTGCATTGGGTTTTGTGTTTGGTTTTTTTTGTTGTTGTTGTTTTGTTTTTAATTTTGTGGTAGTACTAAGGTTTGTATCACGATAGTATTAATGGTATCTTTTCTGCTTGGTACAGTATATAGCTAGGAAGTCAAAGCTGTTGGTGTCAGGAATGAAAAAGGTGGTCTGTAAATGGGAACACTAGAAGGGGGAGTTGGAAACTTTAAGCTGAGTTCCTGCTCTACCTCAAATATCATATGTAGCCCTTAGGTAAATAATTTACAGTGCTCTGTGCCTTAAACTTCCAGCAGCGTAATGTGAGCATAAATGTGTTAAGACTTGTGTTTTCTGTAGTTATATGACATCATAAAAATCATACGAGCCTGATGCTACACTGATTGCAGTTTAGAAGCCGGTTGTAAAGTATTTCGAATATACTGTGGTTTACTGGAGTTGAATTGTTGCTGCATCACTTGTAAATTACATAGACATTGTGAAAGGAGTTACAACCAGTGGAAGGGGTATGCACAAACATTTTCACTTTGCTGTAGTCCTTACAAGTGATAGGATTAAGTTTCTGGCTGTGGGTTTACATATATGTTGAGCCTGTCAGTTCCTTCTCCTAACCTGGACAGAGGATCAGTGAAAGACATGATAAAATACTTCCTTGCCTTGCTTAGAACCCTGATTTTCCTCCCTCACAGTTCTATCCCTGAGCTTTCTCTTAGCTTGTACTTTGAACAGGAAAGACACCCAGCAGACAAAGAAATAGAATCTTCTGAGCTTGAGTCTCTGAATACTTTGATTCCATATTAGCACTTGCACTGCTAAGCTCAGCATGCTTGTAATGAAGGGTTGACCCAGAATTGTGAAACCTGCTTGTCTGAGAGGTGCCAAGATGTTTAGGTTGGCCATTCCAGACACATATAAATGCATGCTTTACAAATGTATTTTTTTTTTCCCCACAGAAGAATTCTTAGAACATGCAGTAACATACCAGCAGTTTGTGGACAATCCTGCTATCATTGATGACCCTAACCTTGTGGTTAAAATTGGAAATAAGTAAGTATATTTCAAGAAAAAAAATACTACTGTTGTAACAAAAATACTTCTATGGCATTTCAGTGTGTTTAGAGAAATTGAACTGTAGCTAAAAAATAGGTTTTGAATGTTCATAGCTTAGATTCATCCAGAAAGAGTCAACTCTCCAAAGAATTCAGGCCCTGCTAGCTGCCTTTCCTCATTTAAATTGAAAGTAAAGAGCAGTTCCAGATGACCTGTTATAGCTAATTGATACAATTTGAATTCAAAGAAGCTAGTATTAAATATTAATGGTGTTCACACTCAGCTGGCAGAGTAAAAGATGAAATAGGATGTGAACTTCCTAAGGCTTGCCCTGAGCCAGTTTGAGTAATTAATAGTTACAGGGATATGGCAGTCTGCTTGGAAGCGCTCTTTACCCAGCAGTTCGTATATACTGAGTATTTTGCTAATGTGTCTCTATGAAGGTATTGCTTTGTCAGACTTCACCCACCAAGTATGAGACTTCTATTTCTACAAGGCTAAGAGATTACTTCATATGTTTATACTGCTGGCAGCAGTGCAGCACTACAGTCTAGGTGCAGTACTAGGTGCAGCTTTTTGCATGATGTTTTAACTTGAGAACTCCGTGCATCTGGCATACAGTGTTACAGAGTAGAGGAGAGATCATGGCATTTTGTTGCTCTTAGAGGTGAGGCTACCCTTAGTCCTCGACATCACTCACACAAATCTGACATGCCTGGTACATCCTTATGTGATAGTTTGTATTCCAGGTATGTTACAGCCTCATTCCTGACCCTCTCTGTGGTCTGAGACGAGTGACTTACAGCTTCCCTGTCATAGTTCTGTGACTTTGATGGTAGTGTTTACCTGCCTATTGATGTACTGGGGAAGAGAGAAGAGTACTTAGCAAGGATATGACTGTCTCATTCTCTGGATGGCATGTGATCTTCAGCTTCCCTAAACAGTATTTTGTTTGTCCTGCTGTGTGTAAGAGTTGACCCATGTTCAGCACATAATAGCAAAAGCTTGACATTATACAGACTACAGCCCCTAACATTTATGTAGCTCCTTGATGGAAAAAGAGTGTAAACAGTTGTGAAAGAAAAAAAGTGGCTCATGTGAAAGTAAGTATAAGGACATAAGGAATGTATGAAAAATACCCTGTCTACATCAGGACATAGCTTTTCTTGCATACCTTGAAATGTATATGTTGTAAATACCTGTGAACGTAATGTGGAATAAGATGGGTCTGCTATTACTGGTGCAGTATTAAGTTGGCTGAGCTTAATCCACAGCACCTGCCAGATGATAATTACTAAGTGAATTAGAACTTTGGGATTACAAAGTGCAGTAATTGTCTCTCTTGCATGCCCAGGTACTACAACTGGACAACAGCTGGTCCCCTTCTGCTGGCAATGCAGGCATTCCAGAAACCTTTACCAAAGGTGAGATTGAAAATGAAGGCTGGTCAGAGGATGACTTGTGATATTCTGCGATTTATTAAGGCAGGGAAGAGGGTTCTTGCACAAGCGGATCTATACATCAGTAATACCTATCCACATGTAACCATTCATCTAGTTTTGTGCTAGGGGCTGAATAAGCAGGACTCAATTTGATCTGTGATTAGTATTTGTTTGCTTGGCTAAGAACTTTACGAATATTTTAAGTAAGGAAAACTTCTTCCCATTTTCCTTCATTAATATGGATTATAAACAGAAATTTTATTGACCCATGTTCGTGTTTGCTGTAGCTGAATACCTGATGACTGCTTTCTATTTTATCTGTATAGAGCATATATTATCAAATATAAGTAAAGGCTAGAAATTTTAACCTCAGTGAATAAGCTTTAAATACTAGGTAAAGAAGGCCTGTAGCTTGCTAGTTTTCTATTTTTCAGTTGATCGTTCATAAATGAACTAGGTAGGTAGTGGCAGATAGCTGTGACTGTGTGGTAGTTACATGTCTTGGCTTGTCTTAAATGCATTCATTAACTCAATTCAGTTCCATGGGACCTGGTGTCATATAGATGCTTAGGACAGAAAGGCACACTGCAATACTACTAAGTAGTATCATCATTGGTACTATTTTATATCCTGATTAGCAGTGGATTTAATGAAGCTTGGGACTCAAACTCTCCTACCATTTCCAGTACTTCCCATGTCTTTGAGTTTAATACATGTGAATTCAAATATCTAGTACATGTGAATTCAAATACTATCTCTGTTGTCATGAATGTGGGATAAAAATTTCTTCAAGCCCAGAATACTCTCTACCACTGTGTTCTTTCTTAGTGCCACATCACATATGTATGCATGTATAGCTGCACTGTAGCATCCCAATATAAAATAAATTGATCCTGAAGGTCCCAAGCATGTGGTAAAGCTGGCTTGAATTTCAAGGATGTTAGAGCCACATATTTCATGCTTTACTGCAAATATTCTATATATGCAAATATTTGTCAAAGGTGGAATTCATCCATGGAACTCAAATGCCCACAGAAGGTGTATGGTTATCCTGGTCTGTATTTGTTGGGCATTTCCACAGACCTTGATAGGTGCCTGTGAGATCTCATAAAGATAATGCAAAGTAACTGCATTTTTAATTAAACACTGATGCCCACGCTGGATGTTTTGGGTTTTGCCTAGGATAAAATTGAAAGAATGGAAATGAAATATTTTTCCATTAAGGGAAATGGCAGTCCTTTCAACAGTGTTATGGTTACACCATCATTCATATAGGTTATCAGTTAAGAAGTCTATGAGTGTGAAATTCAGTGTGTTCATTTTTTTTTAAATAATCAATTTATAATCTGAAGGCTGATAATTTTCTAGACAGTGCAATTTGAATTTAGTGGACTAGCCAGTATATGCAGTTAGGTCAGTCTGTATGATTGGGAAGGTTTACTTGACTGAACTGTGCCTCCGAAGCTGAAATTACTAATTTATGCTACCAGTCATTTTACTGGCTTTCTTAATGACTTGTTACTTACAGTTTTTATTTGCTGTAATAATGGAAGTAAGTACTAAGATACTTTATCAAAACAGGCTTCGGGAAGTGATTGAAAACTTTGCAAAAACTATCACTGAAAACTGCAAAAAGTTTTTGCAAAACCTATCATTCGTTCTTAATACATTTAAATCCCTAATTATAAGCATGTGAATTGTCTCAGTAAAAGTCAACAGGACATGTGCTCGAAGCTGTCCATATGTTTCAGGACATCTTCAAATTGTAGCCATTGTTCTCAACAGTGGCATTCCATTCTCAGTTGCTCCATCTGCTCCTTGCTTTTCTTATTTTGTTTGAAAAGTTTTCAAGTTATTTGCTCACATCGATTCCTCTGTCATTTCTTTTCTCACATACTTTAGCTAGTATAGTGAAGAAAACCTATGGAAAAAAGTGAGAGAAGGGATGCATTGTTCCTTACAGTGGCTAAGCTATTTTTAAGGCATACCAAACACTGTGGCCACCTTTACTGAGGTATAATAATTTCTGATTCACTGTACTACTTTCCCCTTTTGTCTTTTGCTTGCTCTCTGAGTGAAAGAATTCAGCTCTGCTTGTTACAGTGCATATACAGTCATTATGGGTATTGATACAGATACAGTCATTATGGGTATTGAAAGACAAAAAACCCTTTTCTTTACTGAGGTGTAGTAGGTATAATCGAAGAAAAGTAGCCAGCATTAAAAAAAAAAAAGTTCTAACATTGTCAGTCAAACTCATAGCATCCTACTGAACTCATAAAAGCTAGTAACTTTTTTGCTTATTTCTAAACTGATGACTAAATATGAACTCTAGCTATGTTTAAATAACTCTTGCATGTCAGTTTGTTACTGTTTTGCTTTAGAACTCCTTTGGGAAGTGATATTTTCCTTTTTCTTTTTTTAAATTTTTTTATATAATTTATACTAAGTAACTTCAACTTTAAAACAGTAGGCTCTCCATTCTAGACATTATACTAATATCTACTTATGCTTTTTTTTCTTCTTTGATTTTTATATCTTTTTAATTTTCCTTTTTAAAATACCATAAGTATTCATGCTTAAGTTACTTCAGAGCAGCTTTGGACACCATTAGATTTTGCTTTAGTAGAATTTATGGTCCACAGACAGTATGTTTATTTCTCTTCTATTTATTATCAGTTAAAATTGTGTGTTTGGCACTTTCTTTCATTTGCATATATCAGGTTGTCCTTTGTTTTGGTTTTTTTTTATGTTACCATCCATTTATCACAGGCCACTGTGGAATCTATAATGAGGGACAAGATGCCCAAAAAAGGTGGAAGGTGGTGGTTTTCGTGGCGAGGGAGGAACAGTGCTATTAAAGAGGTAAGTTTAAGAAGCAAGCAGTTTCCTTCTGGTTGCAGTGGGAAAGCTGGATACCTCTATATTCATCCCTCAGAACTTTGCTTCTGAGAATAACTCAATATTCAATTTGACTGAGGATACACATATTAAAAGATGTTTAAACAAGGTCTAAAGTCTGACTTCTTTTGACTTCAGAAAGTTTTGTCAGACCCTGCTTGAGATATTTGTCTGCAGTGCTTTGGTTCTGCATTTATTTTCATTACACAAACTTGAGGCAGTATTATCTAATGGATTAAATATGTGTTTGGAACCTAGAATCCAAGACTGGTACCGCTAATTTAATGTTTTCATGCAGATTATCTACCTTTCTGGAGCTTTCTTTAAATAGCTGAAGAACAGACATATTTATGAGTAGTAATCTGTAAAATTCAGCAAAACCTAAGATGGAAAACTAACAGAAATCTTTTTAAATTTATTTTCCTGAGCATTAAAAGTTTGTGGTCTTAAAGCCATGGATGAACATTAAAGAACAGTGGAAAAAACCAAAGCTTTATATGAAATATGAAATATTGATCTCCTGTCTAGACATATTTAATCTTTAAAGTTGGCTAATAAAACCTCTTCATATTAATTTATACTAGTAAAGCATTAGTACTTGCGGGGAGAAAATGACTTCTAATATGTTTTTATGATTTTGCCTTTGTTGAAATTTTTTAGCCTTGCGCGAAATAACCATTGTACTGAGCTGTGGGTATGGGCTTCAGAGCATGAGATTTTACTTTTTACAGTTCACTGAAGTTTTTGGAATTTCTGTCTTAGTGCAAGTATTTGGTTATCTGTTAAGCAGTGTCAGCTATAAAATGGAAAGGGGTGGTGATTGTGGTGTTTGTGTGTTTAAAAAATCACTGTTTAAAAATGTCGTGAGATGAAATTGGTAGAATTTAGCATCTACTCAGTATAAAATCAGTTTGGAAAGTTTTCTTATGTTAAAAATTTTAATGATTCTGTGAAAGTTAGTTGCTTGTTTTTCTTCTACATATTTTGCTTTTTCAGATGAAATCTAAGTATTGCAGGTGCATTAACTGAGTAGTTACAGGATTGATACCAGAACTTCAGTAATACTAAATCTGTAATCTGGTATTTCTGTACTAATTCCACGCAAAATTAAATCTTAATTCTCCTTCTGATTTTAATATTTGCAATTTTGAGTTCTTTGTGCAGCCTTTTTTTTTTTTTTAAGAAACCCATGAAGTTTTCTTTGCTTACAAACAAAGAAACAAACATGCTGTTGATTTTTAGCAGGCCTGTACAAGACAGAACTTGGTTTTCAAGCATTTTTCTAAAAACACTTGCTCTCTCCCTAAAAGGAAATTGACAACTTCTCATACTTGTATTTTTACAGGAAACAAAGCCAGAAAGAGGTATAAGTGAGAGTGGACTTCCAGGAGAAGACTCTTCACAGTTGAGCATGGCAAACAGGTACCCCTGAAAGTATCTGTACTTGAAATGTGCAGGAGTTACTGTTTAAAAATAAACAATTTATTTGAACAAAGAAATTCTGTGTCAATGAAATGCATTGAATTTGTTATTCAATGCACCAGATAAGTGCGGATAGGAAAGCTGTACCCATGGCAGGGTTTCAGACCTTGCGAGTGTGCTCTGGCATTTCTGTGGTTTGGCTGGCAGTTTTGTGACACAAATTCCAACCCCTTGAAAACAAACAATTATTGGAGCAATTCACCAGATCTGTATGTATCTCTCTAGAGAGTTCAAGGGAGCATCATAGACAACCCCATGCATCTGTCAGATCTCAGTTTCGAAGATTTCTGATGTATTTATGGCCTGATGATTTCATTTGTTTTTGCAATCTTTGGAAGTTCAGGGGCCTAAGTCTTTGCAGAGGCTTTTTCAAAGGCAATATTCATGCTTTCTGTTGCTTCTTTCAAGGATTACAGAAGTCTCTTCTGTCACATTCTCCAAATTAGTCATACTGTATGGCCAGAATCTCCCCTGGGAGGGATGAGTTTGCCAGGGACCACTCTCCTACCTTGCCCTTCCTCTGTGCATGCACATCTTGCTGTAAATACATGCTGTATGTATGCTGTCTGCACTTAGAGCTGAAAAGGGCCATATTCAAATATGCTTTATGCTCATGAAATTCAAGTATCACTTTTATGGAACAAAAAAGCATTATCTGTCATTCTTCCCAAAGGTCAGCTGTTGCAGTCCAGGTGAATGTGCTGGAAGGAGGATTCCTCATTCTGTAGCAGGCTAGCTGTTATTTCATTTGCCTCTCTGAGTTTGAGAGTGCCATGGAATAAATTGGAAAGACTGATTTTCGTTTTAAGGATGACATGTGTCTTTTAGGTGTGTTTCTTACGTGGTTGTTTAAAGATAAACTTTAAAGTAGGATTAAGACTTCAAGCTCAGTAGATTCTGTAATTGGTGCTCTTTGTTTAAACTTTAACTGGCCTTAGAAATCTGTCATTAAGAATTTATTGCTTGCAAGCAAAATGTGATATGTAGGATGTTGAGTAAAGCTTTTGAGACCTGATGTTACGAAGGATAAGACAGGCTTTTAAGTATTGCTTGTCATGGCATGCAGTACCTTGATATTGGATCAAGACTTCGTAATATCTAACAACATCCAGGTGTGATTGAAGTAAGAGGCTAAATGCTAATTGTTTGAAAGATGAGATGTGTAGGACCTGAAAGGATGTTTTACCTTCTGCCTAAAATGATAGATTTGTTTACTGTAGGAAAACTGTCTCTCTGAAGAAAAATGTCCTTAAAAAATTTCTGAAAAAAACCAACGGTTGTAGCAGAAAAAAAATATGAATGATATTGATGTGTATTTAAACAGAATTGTGTAAAGGAGCTCAGGTTTTCTGACTTTTCATCATCATATCCTGAATGGGATAATCCTGCAAATCCTGGAAAAGAATAATCCAGTGATCTAAAGTTGCTCATTGAAAGACGGAATTTGTAATCAAATTTCAATCGCCTTTATTTTTTTTTATGAATTGCTGAATTCTTTGGGGGGAGAGAGCAGGGGAGAGAGAAAGCCACCATAGTGAACTCCTCCTTTTGAAACTGAGGATTTTTTGCAGTTACAATATCGAATGGGTATTATGTTTTGGTTTTTTTTTTTGTATCACTGAGATTTTTGAGTCGATAAGACACATTAACCTACATCTCTAAAATTTAAACAATGGAAACTAGCTTATAGACAAGTGAATGGCTAGTACAATCCAAGTATGAATAACGGGGAATATGAGTGAATGGGAATTCAGCACTTCATTGATATATTTAAAGCCATGATGTGAATGACCTCCTGTGAGACAGTACTTAGGAGCAGAGAATCAATGGCTGACTTGGTGACTCACTGTTAATGCATTTTTAATGGATACTGAGATGCATTTACTGACATAACATCATTTTCTGTGTGTGCAATGTTCCAGAATAAAAGATGAATCTTCTTCAAGTGATGAAGACCCTAGAGCTGCCAAACAAAATCTTGGATCATTACAAGCCAGCTCAAGTCATCTCTCATTGTCTGGAATCAGTTACAAAAAAACGCTTCGACTCACTTCTGACCAGCTTGTGAGTTAATTTACATCCTTGTCCTGAAATGTCATTTCTAATACAATATGAACAATACTTTTACTCAGGTTTGCAAAGCTTAATTAGCTCTTAGGTCTTGAATTTAATTTTCTCTCTTGTTATATTTAAAAAAATAATCATTTTCCCTTCTCGTTTCAATATTAAGCATCAGTGTTGTACCTTGCAGCAAGTCCTGTGGTTCACAGATAGGAGACATGGGATCACATTTAGAAAAATGTCAAAATTCCAAAGCATGTCTAAATCTGTCATGTAACTAAGTGTACTGGAACTATGTCCTTTTTGTATTATGTATAATATATGTTAACCCAGAGGCCTCTTTTTTCTTTCCCCCCCCCCGTCCTTTCCTTTCACTTCTTTCACAGGGAGGCAGTCACATTATACATACGTTTTTCTGTTAGTAACTTCTGAAAGAGCTGCTTGTGAATTTACTATGAGAACAGGCTATTAATTTATTTGGAGCCAGTCCTCTTCCTCTGTGACAGAGGTGTTTTGACTAATGGTGACAAAACTCTTACAGTTTTGTGTTCTGCACATTCCAATTTGATTTGGAAAAATGGGCTACTTGAGGGAAATATTTTCTGTCGTCTTGTCTACAGCCAATTAGTTTTCTGAAGGAAACCCACACAAGGTGTACAGTATTAAACAACCCATTGCTCACTGCCTGAATAGTTTGTAAGAAATGTAGAATTTATCCCAAAAGGCAGATAGGATGTGTTGGTAATTTTCTGTAGCAAACAGATACTGATAATTTTCAGGTTTGGAAACCTCACAGAAATTACTTGTAGCTAAAATTACTTTTATATTAGTTTTTGATGAAGCACTGGTTGAGACTCATCAGTTACCCATCAGTTGTCCTGCATTTCCACCTCCTTTTCGTTTATAACTAATAGAAAAATTGCAGTGAAATATAAGAAAAAAAAGAGACACTTGAAGTATTAAACTCCTGCAGGGTTTATGAAAATGAGTATTTAGGTCCACAAATAGAATAAAATCAGTTGTCTCTTGTCATTAAGTGGCACAGGGAAGGGAAGGGAGACAGTGGGAGGGAAGGGCAGTGAAGTGCGAGAGTTAAGGGTATTTGGTGGAGACTGAAGGGTGATGGGTCATATGGTATGAGTGATGTGTTATTGTAGGAAAGAGATGTGATACTGTAGGACACAAGTCCCCATATAAACACTCTAAATTAGGGTTTATGGAACTCCCTGTTACACCTATTTTTCTCTATATATGTGTCGATATCTCAGAATGGAAACCCCCCCCATAGATAGTCCCTAATCTGTAATTTGTTATTCGGTTGTTTTTTCTTTTTTTTTTTTTTTTTGTTTTGTTTGTTTGTTTTGTTTTATTTTATTTTTTTTAAATAATAACCCTGACTGTGAAACAGAATTTTTGTTTGTTTTTGTTCTGCTCTGTAAATTGGTGCCTAACGTACACTACACTGGGGAAACCTTTGCTATCATTAAGACAGTGACTCTGCTGAAAGCAGTGAGATTCAGTGTGACCAAGAATGCAGTGATCATTTGTGGCTTTGTGTTTGCACTGTGTCAGTTTCACGTACTCAGTTTGTTGATTATCTTGCTGATAATGTCTTGCAGAAAAGTTTAAAGCTTAAGAATGGCCCCAATGATGTGACCTTTAGTGTTACAACACAGTATCAAGGCACTTGCCGCTGCGAAGGCACCATTTACCTGTGGAATTGGGATGATAAAATTGTTATTTCTGACATTGATGGAACAATCACACGGTGAGTTCATGAACAGGGAGAGGCTTTATCTACAAGGACAGGTTTTTCTTTGGACTAGCTGAAAAAGTAATTAACAGAATTTTGAGTCACAGAATCATCGTATTGTGTTTGTGTGTTGGGTGTGGTTTTTTTTCTTGATTTGGGTTTCAAACAGTGCAAGAATCATTAGCTGAATTCTTAATTTAATAAGAATGTGTGCCATATGTGCCCATTATTTGTCACATATTTTTTGATGTTTTGGTGTTTTATGATAGTATCTACAGCAGTATTGGAGGACTTTATGCAGAATCATAACTTTTTTGCTGCATCGCATTTATGAAGTAGACTGGCTTCTTTTACTTAATCAGTTCACCTTGTAATACCATTGCAAATCCATCCTGTGTAGATTTGGTTTATTTAAAAAACATTTAATGTAAACCTCAAAAAGTAGGCTTTGTACTGGCACTTGGTACCATGCAGGTGTGATTGGTAGCCTATATGCTGCAACTTCCATATTAACTTGTGGGTTACGAGCTTCATCCATGATGGCAAATCTTGGAGCACAAGAATAATTAAAACAGTATGGTCAAGGATAGGCATGTCAGTTAATCTCAAAAGTAAGGGGGGTAAAATCATCTGATCACAATCAGTACCTTACAGAAAACCATGTTTTCCTTTGCCATTAGACAGATAAGTTAGTGGGGTTTTAATTAACCTTGACTGTTGTTATTATAAGTACTTTGTTTGGGTGGGGTTTTTTTTTCAGTTCAGTAATATTGTTTTTCCTTTATTCAGGTCAGATACTTTAGGTCATATTTTGCCAACTCTTGGCAAAGACTGGACACACCAAGGGATTGCGAAGTTGTACCATAAAGTGAGCCAGTGAGTATTCAGTAAATCCATCCACGCACCTGTGACTTGTTTGTGTTTATTCATTTGCACATGAAAGAAAAAATTTCTGTAGTTTCCCTTAACCTGCAAGAGTGACAATTTCATCAATATCTCATAATTCCAGTGATGCTTGCACAGTGTAAACATCTGCTATATGATATCCAGAGCAGAACTTCCTTTGTGATATCAAAATCAAAAGCCCCCATCAGTGAGCAGTGACTGATCTTCCAACCATCCCAAACATATAGCTACAGTTAGTTCCAAAGACTGCAATGCAGTTTCATCAAGTGCAACATTTTTGTGAACTGTGAGTTGCAGCAGCATTAATATTTAAGATGCTCATACACCTTCCCTTCTCTCCTTGTTGAGGAGATTTGCAAATTGCATAAGGGCTGTTTAGCCTAGGGCCACTGAAGGTGGAGTTCTTGCCAAGCTTGGCTCACCTGGAGTCATGCTGGGGTGGAATCTAAAATAAATGAAATAATCTTTGTGGGGGAGTTCCCTTTCTTTCTAGTGCATTGAAAGGGAGCTTAGTGAAACAGTTTAGGCTTGAGCTGTCTAAACATTAGGCTTCTTGTCAAGCAAGATAAATCTCATTCTTGAAGCACAACACAAAATGCCTTATCTTGAGTAGAAACAGTCATATTTTGGATAATCACTGCTTACATTCTTATTTTATTTGTTACATAAATAATGATGAGCTTCAAAGACATTGATGATGATGTTTGCTACTAATGATTATACAATTTATTTTGTAATTTTTGTATACAAATATTTGTTGATATTCCATTGTTAATTTGCAAAGTTAGAAAGGATCAGTCTTAGTGTCATTGGTTAATTTTGAGAGTGATTAGTAAACATTGTTTAAAGTGCAGTTTAAAGGAATTGAAAGTCAGTAAGACATGCTGTGAAGAGCCTGAGGAGCATGCTTTCCCCTGGCAACACCAGTGTGAGCTGCTGTGTTACAGCTCTGTAATTGACTGGTACCTTTTGGTCCACAGTAATACATACCTTTTGTTTTTTCCATTAGCTATTGAAGAAATATTGGGTAACAGTAAATCAGCTGCGCTTTAGGTCAATTAATATTATTAACAAGGAGAGCATCCTGGAATGACATAAAACAATATATATAAAAAAATCCTGTGGATGAATATGGACAGGAGAAAAATTGTTAAGACTGTACCAACTCTTTGGGATGATGTGTGGGAATGCTTCTAGGTGAGCAAGGCTAGTGCAAGAGTACAGGTATACTGTTGGTTCTCTGGATGCATTTTGTAATGTAGTCAAGCCATTGTATATTCTGGAGGATTGAAGACATAGTATGGTGAGTTTTGCCATTAGTAATTGAGAGAAAAAAGGAAATGAGGAGAGCAATTAATTGATGTCTAAATGGGATCAGATGAACTATCTGATTTTAGCTGGTACAAGGAGGATTAATGATTGCTGTCTGTTCAGGTTGATATTTCTGCTTTACACAGAAAATAAAATTGGTTTTCTTTTATTACATCAAATTCAGCTGTTATAGTCAAATTACCATAAATGCTTGAATAGCCTCTAGTACACATCAGAACTGTCCTCGTAGTTAATCTGATTTGTCCTGTGTGCTAGGGTTATGCTAAGGTTCATTTATTGCTTTTTGTTTTACACAGGTGATGAATTATAAATTATGCATGATGTAATCTAAATTATACCAGAGACACTTGTCTGTGCTTTTATTCTATATAGACACATGTGGTCATAGAAAAGACAGGACAGTCTGGGAATTCACATGCTGAGCTGTATTTAGTTCTGTGTATAACCTCTGTGTTACACTTGGTGAAAATGTTAATATTTTTAATTGCAGTTTGTTACAGGGCTGAAGACAAGCTCTGCTCTTCCACCTCAAAGCCAGGGCACAGCAAACAAGCCTAGGAGCATCTCCCTCAGTGTCCCCACTGCACAGTTGTTATTTCTGTGCCTGCTAGTATTATCGATTGGTAGGGCTTTGGAGATCATAAACACAGGGGAAAAAAATAGATCTGAGTCACGTTGTTTTGCATATTACCAAATTAATTATGTAGTGGTTAGATGTTACAGGTGGACACTGTATAAATGTTCAATACTTAAATGTAATGCCCATGCATGCACTGAATGCAATATTTATTTTAGAACAATAATTTCATTATACAACTTGCAGAGTAAATTGCTGTTAAGTTGAACTAACATCACTGGACTCTGGTCTGTCATGGACAGAACCAAGAGTAACCTGTGGCTTCTACTGAAACTTTTCTTTCAGTGTCAAGTTGATGTTTTCTTCTCATGCTGTGTTTTGAAGTTCAGGTTTGCTCTGACTTGAAGAAGTACATTACTGCTGCACATAAGCTAGTCTGTTTTTAGTAGAGGCCCAAGATGCAGGAACACAACACTGTTAATCCAGCAAAGGCTATACAACATTATCTGCTTTATCCCAAGTGTTTTTCTCTTAATGGATGTCATTATGGTTAATTCTAAGAGTATAGCTCCACAATGCAGGGGTGAATAGAAAACCATAAGAAGTTGTAAGTAGTTAGAAGACCAGAGATAAATGGGACCTCTTTAGGTGTAAATCACTAACTGCAGTGGAGCTAGATAGATTTTAATTATCCAAGTCTCTGGCATAAATGGTTTTATTCCTTTGAAAAAAGTCTAGGTTAAATGTAAGTCCATTTAACTGTCATGATTTGATTCATGTAAAAATAAATCCACAAAATAATTAATGTCTAAATACATGCCATTTTTTATAGTAATTTTTTCTTTTATTTCTGTTCACAGAAATGGATATAAATTTTTGTATTGCTCAGCGCGTGCTATTGGAATGGCAGGCATGACCCGAGGATATTTGCACTGGGTCAATGAACGAGGAACTGTCCTGCCTCAGGGGCCAGTGTTGCTGAGCCCAAGCAGCTTATTCTCAGCTCTTCACAGGTAATGCAATTTCACTTTTGTGCAGAAGAAAACTCAGATGTTGGTGAAGGTTGACTTCTCAGCTTACGTATTTATTTATTTATTTGTTTGTTTATTTAAATAGTGCTTGAAATCATTCGTAGTGGGATTTTTTTCTTATGTATTGGTGCAAAATGTAACAAAGAAGAAATTTTGTTTGGTAAAGACCACAGTTCAGTTTAGTTTATCTCTTAAGACATGTCTCAATATACATCTGTGTTCACTGTTGTCAATAGGTACTGCCTGTTGACTTCATGTGTTTAACATGGTGTGTTAATATTTGGCTATGGGGAAAATGTGACCATTTTAATAACATTCACTCTTGACTTGTAAGGTGTTCCAATTGGCATAAATATTGTTTTGTGGAAGAATATTACGTGGTAGGTAATACATGAAATGAACCTTTTACACTCCTGACTGCACTGTGTGGACAATGTCTGTCTTTCTAGGTGTGGAACTTTGACAAGTGAATAGCACGGTTATGAATAACATACCTTCTTCCTAATTCAGTGAAGAATGTCAAGTGATTACTGAAAATATTTTCAGCTGTTAAAAGCTGCTGTGACAGGATATATTTCATTAGAATTTTTAATGGAAGGTTGTTCAGATTTTCTCCTGATTGAGTGACATGCTACAGACTGTCTTACCAGTCATGTTCTAAATATAAGAGACTGTGGAGGTATTACAGTATGCTGCTTAGACTGATTAAATAATAAATGCAGGGTAGTTACTGTTATCTTGTGCTCCTCATATCTAGAAATACATTTAAAGTGATACTCTGCAGTATCTTGGTTAAACTAAAGAAAACCCATTTTTTGGTATACAGTATTGTAGCTGCTGTGATGTGTGGACAATAAATAATTTCATTGTTATCCATAGATTTAATTATTGTGGTTTTGAGGCTCTGAGATCAGCTGTATGTGAGACTGAGGAAAGATGGTTTTGTTCCTTTTTCTCACATTCTCAAACTTTGATTTATACATGGAGCTGGTGTTCCAAAGGCCTGTTCTACTCCTGTGAAGCTTCTGCACTATTCACATCTTCCTTGACATATGTGTTGGTGCTAGGAATTGGGATTCTAAGCTGCTTAAGCGCTTTTGTGTCATGCTGGCATCTTTGTATGTTATGGGAACTCCAGACTCTGCCACCTGTTCAGTTTCCTTGCCAAGAGAAGCTGTTGTGGAAGGGCTTTTGCCCAGAGATGAGAACTCCTCTATTCATTAATGAATTCTACATTCTGTAAGGAGCAACTGAAGAGAAATAGAAGATTCAGTTATTCCATAACTTTTGTTAATTAGCAGTGGTGGAGGACCCTGACTGTAGAAGTGTCTTAACAGGCAGAGGCGCTTCTAGCACATACGGTAATGGCAATCCAGTGAAGGCTAATAAAATCTATGAATCATTCTGCAGTTCTCAGGAAGCAGTTTACTTGATGACAGTTTGTTTCATAAGGCTTTATTTAGCAGCTACTCCTGTAATCAACTATCCTTGCTCAGTAGCTATCTTTACAACAAAGGTTTAAATAGAAGTTCCCTTGTTCCAGAGGATTTATTTACTGTGCCCATTGCATAAGCTTGGAAGTGCTGTTTTGTCTTTGTAGACACTGTGATTTCCAAATGAAGATTCATTGGAGAAGGGTGGGGACTCTTTAGGAGTATCCAGCTAGGTGGAAACATTTAATAAAGAAAATAAAATGGTTTTTGCTGTATTTCATGTGTACTTATTGAGCCTCCCTTTTTCTGTCATTTCAGGGAGGTTATAGAAAAGAAGCCAGAAAAATTTAAAGTTCAGTGTTTGACAGACATCAAAAATTTGTTTTATCCTAACACAGAACCCTTTTATGCTGCTTTTGGAAACAGACCTGCTGTAAGTAATACCTGAAATTATTTCTATTGCAAAGAACAGAAAGGTTGCTGTTATTTCATGGTTCTGTTGAAGCTAGAAGCTTGAAATGGGAGTTGAGTTTTACCAGGCCCTGCATGAAGGAAAATACCAAGGTTCTTCCTTAAAAATCTTGCAATGGAGGATGCAGTCAGGGATAGAAGAGCAGCAAAGTGACTACATTATATTTAGTTAACAGTTAAGCTTGTCTGAAAACACTGATCTCATTTTAATCCATACTGATACAGTGTCAGATACATGTGGACAGACAGAACATCTTTCAGATGCATGTTGATCGGACTTACACTTCAGACTCTTAAGTATGCTCAAAAGAACTTGCATGTTCTACTGAAATCAAAAGGTTTTACTTTGCATAGGAAGTGAAATGTTTCACATGGAGAGGGGAAGACATTCAGCCATTTGCAGGCTGTATAATTGGGCTATAGGCTTTTCTTAGTCCTGTTCTAGCCCCCGAATGATTTTATTTCTACAGAAAAGGAAAGTCTCAGGGGCTAGGGCGAAGGCAGCAACCTTGGCATGTGATTATCTCATAAACTGTTAGCATAATCCAAGAGGCTGTTTTGACACAGGCAGCTAGCCGTCTTCCAGACAATTCCTGGATATGATTGCTGTGTTAGATTGTGGCACAGATTCTTCCCAGTGGATTTTTGATACAGCCATGTTGGGGTGTGTGTGTATGTGGAGTTGTGGAGAGTTGTTTTTTTGGTTATGGGGTTTGGGTGGTTTTTTTGAAGTGAGTTGTATAGATCTTAATAATATTGTCAAAGTGTCAAGAGACTTTCAAGTCTTACAGTGGGCACTCTCACTTTAGTTTACTAATGTAGATTTCACTATAGATGCCTAAGGAAGGATAAAGGCTTTGATTCACTGGAAATCTTTGAAAGCATCCTGCTTTCAGGAGATATATAGAAAATCTGCTTCTTCAGATGTTTACAGTTTCATTTGACACCTAAGTTTAGATGCTAACTACATTAGGTAGATAGGTCCCTTATTTGTGCCCAGGAGCTCTACAGAACACTTCGTACTTCAGCTCTGTATTGTCAGGTAGTATTTCCTGTCGAAACTGGTATGTGGTGTAATAACATGTAACAAGAAACCTGGCAACACCTTTGCGGTGTTTGTGGCCAAGGACCATTGGCGTAATGTTTGGGTGTATCCACCCTGCTCTGAAAGCTAAATACAATTAACTGTATGCCTCTGTCCTGGCCATACCATTAGATCTGGAGAGTATGGTTCTTCATCCTTTGTATTTCCTAGCATGATTAGCCAGAGAATGCTCCAGTTTGTTACATTGTTCTTTAGTTGGTGCAGAGAAATGGGACACATGTGGAGAGTGAAATTTCAATAGTCATGGACATTACTGGTGTTAACAAGTGCATGGGCTTCCAGGATTCTTGAAATGACTGCTTTTAACTTTTGTTCAGTTATTTAATTTTTTTGGAGCAGCCTTTATAGAGATAAAAATAATCTTTGTATCTTCATTAACATTCCAGTCTTCCACCACTTCAGCTTTTTAAACCATGATTTAGATGACTAAAATGGAAGCTTGGTTTTGCTCTGATCTTCTGGGTGTTATTTTCATCTTTGCTTTTGTCAAGCTTTTCTTCAGACCAGATCAATTTACTCATTGCTCCCTTAGCAATTTGAATTTCTTAGAAGAATTTCTTACTTCTAACTGTACTTCCCAGAGTTGCATCTGCATTACCTGCTGGGGCTCACAGCTGCTATTTTGGCATGTATTCCTTGATTTCTGTTCTTTTCCCTTTGCTCTGATATGGTATCAATACATGGCATAAATCCAAACTCAGGAGCCAAGAGATGTTTCCAGGAGTTCTAATGTAGACACAGTTGTCATGACTTCCTTTAGTTTGTAAGGACAAGGTCACAAATCACTGTTTTACATGTCAATTATGTTTTAACCTCTGTACATTGTTGCAAGATACTCAGTACAATGCACTCAGGAAATGATATATTCTCTGAAAGCAAAATGAAAGTGCAAATGCTTTTACGCTAAGTATCGTTAGTTTTTTATTGAATGTTATTTCTGTGTCAGGAGAAGTTCCTGAAAAAATTAACATGGTTTTGATCAACAGTTTAAACTGAACTCCTCACTCAGCTGCAAATTGTTCCGTGGGCATTTGTTATACTGGCCTCTTTTTTAACATAATGGAGGATTACACATACACAATAACTAGCTAAATTTAGTACCAGTACTATGCAGATATGTTCTTCTGTGTAATATATTCCAGCAAGAATAAACCTTATTGTGCAAAGGCAGAGTCATGATTTATTTTTTCTTTTCTGTTTAGGATGTTTATTCATACAAACAGGTGGGGGTTTCTTTAAACAGGATATTTACAGTTAACCCCAAAGGAGAACTTATACAAGAGCATGCAAAGACAAACATCTCATCGTAAGTAATCTCTTATACCTAACACCTTATCGACTAAATTAATGTGCTGACTAATTTATGACTCAAGTTGGCCAAAGTTGCATTTGATTTTATTAATAACAGATTCCTTAGAAACAAAACATTAACGTTTTTGAATAAAATACAGACTTTCCACTTTCCTTCAGTTTAACTGAAGGAAAAAAAGTTTTGTCAGAAACACTGACAAAAAAATGTAATTTGATGTATTCCATCTACCTTAATCATATAAAGGACTTATCAGTGTACAGTTTAGTCTGCATAAAAATCATAGAATCATATCACAGAATGGTTCGGGTTGGAGGGGACCCTAGAGGTCATCTAGTTCCAACTCCCCTGCCATAGGCAGGGGCACCTTCCACTAGATAGGTGTCTCAAAGCCCCATCCAGCCTGGCCTTAAACATGTCCAGAGACGGGGCATCCACAACTTCTCTGGGCAGCCTGTTCCAGTGCCTTACCACCCTCTTAGTGAAGAATTTTTCTTAATATTTAATCTAAATCTACCTTCTTTCATCTTAAAGCTATTCCCCCTTGTCCAGTTACTACATGTCCTTGTAAATTTCCCTCTGCAGATTTCTTGTAGGACCCCTTTAGGTAGCTAGTTTCCTGAAACTGTCTACCTTTTCATGGCCTTTTCAAAATATCCTTGTCCTGGAGCTCCTATCTAGAAGGGCCTGAAAATCTAAAGATAGGGCTAAGGGCTTCTAGCACAATGCTTATCCGCTGCAGTGCCTAAAACTAAATGGAACACTACACAGAAATGGTTCTTAGTAATGTTAAATGTGTCCTTAATTGAAGGGGAGCCATACATGTATAAACCAGAAATAATTGATTCAGCAGGGAGCTGCTTGAGCCAAGCTGGATGGAAATGGAGAAGGAAGATATAGAGCAAGATATAGGGCTTGAATAGTTTAGCAGGTGATCCGGGTTGAAAAGGGTGTCTGTTTCTTACTAGGTAAGTATCGTTGCTTAGAATGAATGTTTTTTTTTTAATCAGAACTGGGAATCTTGTCTGGAAACTAGACAGTAAATTGAGTTCAGTTTTCTTTGTTTGAGGGGAGAGACTTGTTCATGTAAGAGTAGCCATTCCTTAGTAGTTGGGGACTTAGGAATATTCAAAGATCTTAAATGGTTCAGCATTCTTTTTATTTGTTTATTTTCCAGCTATGTGAGACTATGTGAAGTGGTAGATCACATTTTTCCTTTGCTAAAACGAAGCCATTCTTCAGACTTCCCTTGTTCTGATACCTACAGCCAGTTCACCTACTGGAGAGAACCTCCACTGCCCTTTGAAACTCAGGATGAGCATCCACCTTCAACAACCACTTAAGTGCATCTCCAAACTGCTGGCCTCAGCTCAAAGAATGAGTTAGCTTGTATTGAAAGGCCATCACTTGGCTTTTGCTGTTGACAGTTCATCTGGAATCTGTGATGTTGTGAGCACTGTATTTATTTTGCTGTGAGCAAATTTACAAATGCATTTTTTCACATTTCCAGATGACAAGAAGGAGTCTTACTAGGAACAGGAGTTGTGTTTCTGGCTCTTCATCCAGCTTCTCAAATTGTGCCATACAGTTTCAGTATTTAAGATCAAATAAAAATGAAATGGTGTTGGAGTTGCAATTAAACATACCATAAGTTTGTAAAGTGGTTCTGTATCTTCTCTGCAACCCTGACATGATCTTCCATCTCATCAGAACCCCTGCAAGTAAGGGAGCTGAAGGTGCTCACCATTCCTGACATCATCTGGTGACACGGACTGGGATTACAATCCATATGTCAAAATTCCTTTCTCTGAAGGAGCAAGTGATTCTTCCTCTTTCCCCTTACTTGACCAACAGCTGTTTGTCTGAGTTAATTACTAGATCTTCAGCTGTTGTAAATCAGTGTAGCTGTCAAAGCCAATTGAGCTGTGTTGATTGATTTATTCCAGCCTGTTGTTTTGACATGGTAACACTTTTCTGAGGAAATAAATCATGTGTAGTCTAAAGAGAAAGCAGATGAAATAAGATAGCTGGATTCTGGCAGTCTTTCTTAATTTGAGAAGTACCATGCTTCAAGAATAGCTATTTGGATTAAGGTAGGTGTGCAAGTGGAAGATACAGGCTGCTGTGCATAGGGCCTGTTTTACTGAAGTCTGTGATTTTCAGTAGAGTCATCTTGCAGAGTGTGCTAAGGTTCAAGATCATTACTGAGCCAAGAGCACTGATGATTTTGTCAAAATGGAATAGTTTTATTTGAAATATTATTTTGGCTAAAATGTGAAATTTGATGCTGGTGAATGAGGTGAATGATGCATCTCAGGTTTTTATTGTATGGAATTTTTTGTTTTACATCATAAATAATGGATACTTTTAGTGCAATTTACTCTCTTCTAAGATAATGAAATATTTTTTTATTTGTTTTTTTTTTTCCCCCTTGCTTGACCAGACACAAGCTGTAGATACTGTTTTTGCTACCTGCTTTTGACAGCCTTAAGACTTTAACTGTGATGCTAAAAGCAATACTGCAGATCAGTTGATAATGTTTTCCAAATGGTCTGCCTTTACACAATGCGGTACTTAAAACGTAGACATCAAGTGACCATATGCCAAATGATTCTCAAATGTGCTTGTAGCTGTGAAAAGAACTTTTTTCTTTTTTCCTTTTGAAATACATTTAAAAGTCTGAAACACTGAAAGTGGCATCATGGGATTCTTTATGTTATATTTCAGTGTGGCTAAACAGTGGTGCACAGGCTGTGGTTTGTGCCAGCTTGTCATCTGTGAGGATATGGTACATGTTTTGCAGCTGCTTTGTAGTGTTTTCAGTTAAGAGTTTAATAATAGGAAGGCAGAATGGTCCAGGAGAAATTTTAAGATGTGATTGTGGTTGGTTAGCACCCAGAAGATTGGCAACAGCTGCTCTGTATCACATTTGTTCTGTTTCAACAAATTCTGGGTTTGCATGTCAAGAGTGATAGCAACATAGGTAACAATGGAAATTCTGTAATAGGGGTTTTCTAACTTTCAGTGCTGCACTTTATCTGTGATGTCAGGGGCCAATTTGTGATTTCTCTGTGCCTTCAAAAGTAATGGATATAAGTGCAATCCTGTATACAGCTGCAGTGTGCAGTGGTGAGCTCTCTCCAAGTCTTCCTTTCCTCATGAATGTTGCTGCTTCAGGAAGGATGCATGCCCACTTTGGAGATACCAGGATTAGATAAACACGAAGAGGAAGAAATGCATGCTAACAACCCATACTTGATTATACGCTCTTGAAAGTTTAAGGAAAATGCAATTATCTTAAAGATGGAAGGAATGTGGTATGGATTTTCTGATAGACAATCAGTAGGGATTGCAGGTTGCCAGACTGGTTGCATGTCTAAATATAGCCACACTAATACTTGTAATTAGTGATTGAATAAGTGGATGAATATATTAACTGCATCATATTTCTATTCAGTTTTAGTGAAGGCCTATTTCAATCCATTCATTATGCAAAATAAAACCAAGCCAACCCTTCTCTTTGGAGAGAGGCTGTCAGTTCTATGGTAGATAACATCTGTTTTCCTAAGGTACCTATATAGTAGCTTCCACCAGAAAAGACGGTGCCTGAAAGTTCCTCACAATTAAAGCCTGTGATGTATTTATTTATAACTTACTAAAAACTAATCCAGGGTTGTCTGTTGCCGTTAGTATTTCAAACCACATGATAGTGCAAATGGGTGGTCGTTTTTAATTCAGTCAGACTTGCAGGCACGGTGCAGTGCTGGTACAATAACCCTGAGATGCTGTGGAATCTCTGTCATGGTGTTTTTCAAGACTTGGTTAAACAGAGTTACGGCTGACTTGATCTAGTGTTGGCAATCATCTGCTTCAAGCATGAAGTTGGACTGGATGACCTCCAGGGGTCCCTTCTGACCAACATTTCTGTGACTCTGTGAGGTTAAATGCTTTACTTCTGACATACTGTATACCCCTTTGTATCTGAAAGTTGAAATATAGCTGAACAGTGAAATGAGTGCGTGTTTCTATAATATTTATAAAATCTGCTCACGGAAAAGACATGAAAATAAAAGTTTTGGCTTGCTATGAACATCACCATGCTTTTCTCGGAGAGTACAAGACCTTTTGATGTGGTAGTAGAACAATTTTATGCATGGTATTTAAACTGCTTTGTTAATTCATGTAGAAGAAAAAGGGATGGTTTAATAAATTCTTACTCTTTCTGTGAAAGAAAAAAAAATTCAGCCTTGCTTGCAGTGTAATGCTGGTTTCTGTTACAGAATATTTGGCTAACATAAATACGCAGACACATTAAATCACAGTATATTCTATTTATACAATACACACAAACTAGAATGTGCAGCAGTTAGGAGTGCGTAATGTTTATTTTCTTGAAGCTGATGACCATACTGCTCCAGCTATGTCATGTGAGGGGAAGAATACCATACTTGTTGTATTAGCTAGGTTGAAGATAAAATCTTGCTGCTGTAATTTAGGGAGGGAGGAGAAAGAGGTTATTGGGTATTTTTTATTTGTAGACATGATTATTCAAAGCCTATTTATATATAGTATCTACTCTATATATGTATAAACTACTGCAACGGTGAAAAGAATTTCAACACCTCATTTTGATCTGCTGAATGCAACAAGGGTAGAAATATGTATTCTAATAAAGGCAAATATAATTTTTTCCCTGACTTCTCTATTTTTATGCATGCTTTTGGTAATGGCAGAGTGCTCTTGCAGGAGTGCTGAAACTCTGTAAAGCATGGGTTTTCTAGCTCTAGTCTCAGTTGCATGACTCTTCTCAGGGTTAGCCTGTGTTACTTCCAGCACTTGCAAAACTTTTGGTGTTCAGCTACCGCATTTGACCCAGAGCCTTTTCAAGTGGAAAGAGTTTATTGAGGGAATCAGGGCCAGGATCTGGGCTCTGGCTCTTCTGGGGTATGGGAACAGCACCTCAGAGCCAAAAGCAGCCAGACAGGAGCTGGAGCAAATTGGACCAGTCTGGAATCTTACCCCAGCCCAGAACTGTTTTGAATCTTCCTTTTGTCTAATTCCTAGTGTGACCTAAGGAAAAAGTAGCCATCTGTTTTGAGTGGGAGTGTTGTCATTCATGGCAGTGAGAGCAGATACTTTGGTGGGGTGTTTCTTTTTTATTTTTCTTTCTCCTTCTCTTTGGCATTGCCCATTCTGCTGGTGCATTACCCTTCCCTCCTGGCCCTGAGAACGGAGCACTGCCTTTTGCTCCCTCTGCCGGGTTTGCTGGGCAAACACTGCAGCGTGGTGATAACTGCAAGGCTTGTGTTAGCTGCTATGAAAACAGAGATGTTTGGGGTTGATAAGGCGCAGCGGCAGCTCAAGTTCTGTGTTAAAAATACAAGAGCAGCCGTATTTGGGCAGCCTGCAGTCACTGCTTCTTCAATCTTCTCTATTTTCTGTACGTCTCTGGCTTCTATAAACATTTACACTGGGAGCACTAGAGACAGGTTTTGAAATGAAGGTGCCTTTTTAATTAAAAGTCAGAAATGGTGCTTTTGCATCAGCAAACCAAACTTTATAAGGACATATTCATTGCTCCTGGAATAGCCCATTAACACTAGAAGTAGAAAAGTCTGAGGGAGCAAACCGCCTCAGGAGCAATGACCGTAAAGTTGTGTTGGGTTTTTTTTTTGATGCCATGGGGATTATTCCCAAAATACAACAGTAAATGATTCTTTATAAATAAATAGTTTTTGTTCAATATATATTGCACATGCCATCAAGTACATCAGGAAAGTTCATTGCAAGAGGCAGAAGACTACCAAGAGGTAATGCCTTAAAAATATACCTACTACAACTTTCAACTCTTCTGTGAATGCATGAAAGGGAGAAGCCTGGAGGGAGTTCTCGGTGTGGGGCTGTTTTGGGGTTGGTTTCAGTATTTTTTTACCTTCATGAAAGTCCAGCAAAGTATGGTGGTGAAGGAGTTATACACACAGAGCCACAACCTCAGGTAGTCCTAACTCTTGCTTGCAGTGAAATCCAGCCCCTCATTTCTGTAACATGTTGGAGATATGTGAAGAAAGGGCTAATTGTAAATGGGAGATAGGAGACTGGCTCTAAAGAAAACCCAGCAGTGGTGCAGAGGAATTAGGGCTGCTGGATGCTTTGGCACAGAGATCCTCATCAGGATCTTTCCAGCCATTGTGGTGTGAGGGACAAAAATAAAAGCAAAATGAGAAATGGGTTTTCTAGGAGGAACTAGAGAAAGGGAATAAAAACAGAGCAAAGAGCTAAAATGCAGCTTCTTGTTTCCACCTCTGTACCTAGGTGGTACCAGGTCAAGCGCTGAGATCTACTTTACCTCTGAAGCAGTCTTGCCTTGTCTCCCATGTGTCTGCATTGCACAGGAGAGGTGAGAAAGCCATTTTGGTTTCATTTGCGAAATGAGAGGATAACATTGACCAAAAGGAAATCTATGCCCAAGTGTCCTAGGGGTACTGCTAACAGCAAAACAAAGTTGCAATTACAGCTAAATTTTAAGCTTAGGTAAGGACTAGGGCTTCTTTATTTTTTCATGAACTTGGGAACCCAAGCTCTCAGCTGCAGGATATACACCTCTATAGTACCATCCTTTCAATAACGCTTGCTTTGGAAAAGAAGTATAGACATAATTTATCAGCCTATTTAGATATGTGCTTAAATCACCCCTCCCTGTACTGAAATGTATCCATATTCTGAAACACTTCGCTGGAATAAACCAACTAATGCCAAGGGAACTGTGTACCAAGGAGATACCGTTTCCGAGCTGCAGAATTGATCTGGCTTTTCTAATGGTTATCCTTGGACTGGTTTTTAGCCTCCAGCACTGTCAGGTGTCCTGCCTGCTGCCAGCAATCTATTTATTGATACAGGAAATCCATTTTGCCTTGCCTTGCTTTTAATGAGTTTTGCAAGCAAGTGGCCCCTTCCTGTGACTCATTCTGTGTTTTCTGAGCAGGAGATTGTGGTTTTAAGTTTCACATTGGAAAGTAACCGCTGTGTCTGCTTTCCTTGTCTTCTGGAATCTCAACAAGAGGAATACATTTTGGAACAAAGAAATGTAAATGGAGTAGAACAGTTCACGTTTCTTTGCAGAATTGTATAAACATCCTTCTATTCAGGAGAGTTAAAAGGGCTAGTGCAAAGTGAAAATAGGTCATGTTTTAGAATAATAGCTTTATCTTAGAACATTGCTGTTAACACAGGCAAAAAAAAAGACATTTTCCCTGACATCTCAGTATGTGTTGGCCCTTTGATTTATAGCCAATAAATATCCAAAACTTAAACTGTGGAGGCCTTTCTCTGATCTTACTGACGCAGGAACAGCTCTATTAGCATCTGGTTGGCTGCTCAGGTACGCACAGCTCCAACTGTGACCTGAAGGGTGAATAGTGAGTGCTACAGATTTCCATCCAATTACTGGTCCCTCTTATCTGTTTAGGATACTGGAGGTAAGGAGGTTCGAAGCATGGATGTATTTGTTTCTGACTTTTGCCAAAAGTATGGTGGCGGAAGGAGAGGGTTAAGGTAAGCTTGGACCGTTAGCCCTGAAAACTGAGGTTTACGTTAAAAGCAGCCATAAATACATCAAAACCAATGACCAGGACAGTTTCCATTCCCCATTGCTAGACACGCTATTTATATTTCAGGCTCAGTGGCTATGTCTGCACAGATAAATTGCTGCCCAGTGAAGGGCAGGAACCAACTGTTCTAGGGCCCCCTTGCCAACTGGTATGCTTTGGCCAGTGTCCAGCTGCCTGCCTGCCATGTTGGGGTAATTGCTGGCCTCTGCTGACCCTCACACTGTGCTTGGGCATTGCCTGGGGGCCACTGGCTGGCCTGGCCCAGGACCATGCTGGGGACCATGGAGGCAGCATACCGGACAGCTGGTTGTGTGCCACAGCCTGGGTTTGCACCCTGCTGGTTTGCTGACATGTCCATGCTATACCTCGGAAGAGCCGGCTCTGGGTCCTGGGTCCAGACCATAGCTCCTTTCCCAGTATGTGTCCAAGCTGGCTGGATAAGATATTGGTGCCTCTCCTTCCACAGGTTTTGGGATGAGCTGAGATCTCCCTATGGGCTTAAGAAGGCGCTTCAGTTCTTGTGTAGTTCACCTCGATCTCAAGAGGAGGCACTCTCTGATCCTCAGCTGCTTTCACGTCTATGCAGTATTAAAGCATGTTAGGGAGGACGAGATGATCTCTGCAGTTCTGAAAAAAAAAAGCTGGAATAATCTGAAAGCTCTGGTAGCACAGGCTTCTTAGAGGCAAAGTGGGAATGGGGGTGCACAGAAGATCATACCTGAGACAAAATGAACACATTGGGAAAGCAGAAATTCAGCAGATCATGTTAAAAAGGTGACCTTCCAGTTACACATCTCAACTGTCAAGTTTAAGCTGGCAGAGACAACAATTGGAAGGGAAAATTGTGAGGCTTAGAAACTGAAGCAGCTTTTCTGGGAAAGTACTGAGATGAAAGGAAGAGGGGCACCCGATATTGCCATACGTACTCTCCTGAAGGGATACAGATGTCATGTGAAAATACAATGCCCTGTATTGTGGACTTAATTTCTGATCTATGTACTGTGTGAAAGGAAGGAACATGAGAAATGTCTTTATTTCTCAAAGTGTTATGGGGTGGGGTAGTTTTTATTGGGGGGGCCTAGCTGTTTGTTTTATGTTGGTAAGAAATTGCACTGAAATACAGTGACTTAGGGAGCAGTTCATCTATTCACATCCTGTTACCTTCTAAAGCACTCCTTGCACAACCTGAGAGCCCGCACAAGTGTTACACCTTCCTGCAAGGCTCATTTCTTCTATCTCTCTGGTCTGCTCCTCTGCACATGCCATTGGCATGGGATCACTTCCATTTTCTTTGGGCCTAGTAAATTCTTGTAAACCAAGGCTGTGGTTCCATGGGTGACTGATCTGATTGACTGGTTTGTTACTGCCTAAAGCACAAGGTCACGCTCCCTGTCTTCTCCTTTGCTTCTCCTCATTCTTCACACCAAACCCTCAAGTACTCCCAGGGTAGTTTTGTTCTGCATTAGTGAGTTAAATGGGCTCTGAGGGAAGTAGGACCTTATGCTTTTGTCCATGTCCCATGAATATGCAACCTGTGTTTTACCGTGTCCATCCTACACCTGACTTCTTTGTTCTTATAGTAATAGTCATATAATTGTGGGCAGACCTTTTAAAGTGACATGCCTGGTGTCTATCAGTGAACTTGAGAGCATGGCTGTAACCACATCCAGATGAGACTGTGAGCAGTGACGTACTACAAGTAAGGAAATCACAGGATCAAAACCATCTGCCCGAGATGGAAGGACTGATTGGGAAGCAAAAGCCTGGCCCCAGGTCAGGAACAGGATCCAGCTGATGCCCTGACACAGACATCTTGTGTTGCCTGAGGTGAATCCTTCAATGTGCTTTGTGCCTCAGTTCTCTGAGCACAAAATGGGGATGATGGCAGTTCTCTGTCCCAGCCATGCCCTGAAGATGAGGCGTTAGCACATATGAGATGCTGTGATATGAAACTGGGGCACCAAATGGGTGTTAGTTACTGTAAGAGAATAGTATATACCAGGGCATCCTGGTTTTTGTGGGCTAAGTCCAAGCAGGGGATCTGCTCCTGGGGTCACTGCATAATGTTTGTTTGCTTGCTGGT